AAAAAAAAAAAAAAAGAGCCTCTCACTTTAGAAGCAGTTTTCAAAATTAATCAAATTTCGCCGCAGCGCTTGAAAAAAAGTTAAACACGGGCTTAAGAACGTCCGGAGTCTTTCCGTCTCGGAGCGCCTGAAACGTTTAAACGGGGCTAGCTCTTAGGCGGAACGAAATCTGTGTCAAAAGATCCATTAGTCTGGCAAACCGTGAATTTATGACGGAGCCCAAGGTGCGGATTGGATGCGGTGACGGTGTGTCTCGTCATTTCATTGACCGGCGCGGCCGACAAAAAGTGAGCAGCACCCGAGGTAGAAAGTGCGAGGAGTTACCGTTACGATGGCCGACTGACTGACATGACGACTCCACGACTGTGATACTCCGAATCTGAATGAAACACCGCCTGCGGGTCGGACTGACCATAAGGCCAATCTGCCATTGGCAGATGCGCCCCCCTCAGCGCCCCTCTTCCGGCCGCTAGAATAATAATAAAGAAAATGAAGAAAAGAAGCAAAGAAAAAAAGAAGAAAAAGAAGGAGGAAAGGAAAAAAAGAAGAGAAAAAAGGAAAGAATAATAAATAAAAAGCAAGAAGAAAAGAAACTAAGTAAAGAAAAAATGCCTAAAAATTATAAGTAAACGGGAGAAGCTTTAATAGGAGTTAATTACTGAAGAACCCCATTTCCCCATAAGAAGCCAAGTATTTTTGGAGAAAATAAGGGGCGAAAAAAAATTGAAGCAAACAGGCGATATACGCCACACCAATTCTACGTAACTTTTTTCGTAGAATCCATAACTGAAGTCAAGACATACCCTAGCCATTTGAAATTCAATTCAATTCCAGAATTTTCCTCGTAAGATTAATCGACTTTGTACCTGAAAATACTGTCAAAATTCTACTTAGAGGAGTTTGATTTTTAAACAATTCGGGCCCCTCCGAGAGAGGGGGGAATTGTTCCTGCATACTCCTGACCGAAATATCACATTGCGCCCCCTTCGCCGGCTAAGGGTCTGCGCCCTCAGAAGTACGTCAGTCCGACCCTGCACCCGGTGATGGCGCTTCGTTGAAAGTGCATTGGTCCGATTACTGCAGCCGTGCTTAGGAAGAACGCCGTATGAACCTTCGAACGTTCCCAAATTTTCTTTGATAAAAACCGAATTTACTGGGAAAATTGTGAATATTTTTTTTTCCAAAATTTTCAGACAATTACGTACGCAATTTAATCTAATATATCTGAAAATTTCAAAGAAAAATGTGCATGAATGTCGTCAAAAGTACATGTTTTATCCAGGGAAATTTGCCAACTCTCGATTGTTAATACGGCGTTCTTCCTTAGCACGGCAGTGCAGCCGTGCTAAGGGAAAACGCCGTATGTACATTCGAGAGTTGCCGAATTTCCTTCGAGAAAATGCTTATTTTTGAGGAAATAAGCTTAAGAATATTTTTCCTTGAAAGCAGGAACTTTAGGTAGAATTGCGAACAAAATTATCCGAAAAATTGGAGGAAAAATACTGACAAATTTTCCTAAAAATTCGTGATTTTTCAGAAGGCGCAAAGTACACTGGAAAAAAAACCACATTGGATCTAGAGTCCAGACTCTTGAAAACATTGACAAGAAAAAGGACTCTTGATTCAATCAGATTTAAGCTTAAATCAAAAGGAAATCCGCTCAAATTAAGAGGCTTGGTTCTCGATCTAAGCTTAAATCTGATTGAATCAAGAGTATTTTTTCTTGTCGATGTTTTTAAGAGCCTGGACTCTAGATCCAATGTGTTTTTTTTTCCGGTGTCCTGCAGCCGTGCTAAGGGAAAACGCCGTATGAACATTCGAGAGTTGCCGAATTTCCTTCGAGAAAATGCTTATTTTTGAGGAAAGCTTAAGAATATTTTTCCTTGAAATGTTCTGGAACTTGAGGTAGAATTACGAACAAACGTATCCGAAAAATTGGAGGAAAAATTTTAACAAATTTTCCTGAAAATTCGTGATTTTCCAGAGGGCGCAAAGTAGCTTTAACCTATTACTCACTTAATGACAAAATATTTTGGAGTTCTTTACAATCCTACGAGAGGGTATTGAGTTGCTTGTTTGCTCCGATGAATCGGTCCAGTTTAACCGAAATTAATATTTTCCTCGAGTGTTTTTCACTGATTAAATTTCAGTCGGAGTGGGTGTTAAACCGTGCGGTTTGCATATCAAATGACTGCGACCTTGAAACCCACCACAAACTGTTTTCTTCTTCTCATTTTTCCTTTTTCGACGACTGATGAGAGATTATAAGGCCGAGATAAGAAAAAGGCAGTGAATCGAACACATAATGATCAATTTTGAGATTAAAGAGACATTAAGTGATTACAATACACTCTCTCGGCATTCACACCTTTGCTATTAACGTGAGTTAACATGTTTTGTTGTCATTTTAGCAGAATGAAAATAAAAGTGAATAATAGCACATCCACGCAGAAGGCGGCTAATCTGCTGAACTAAGGAAAAACGCCGTATGAACCTTCAGGCGTTGCCAAATTTCCTTCGGCAAATCACGAATTTTCAGGAAAATTTTTAAATATTTTTCCTCCGATTTTTCAGATAATTTTGTTCGCAGTTTTACCTAAAGTTCCCGAAAATTTCAAGGAAAAATATTTCTAGCTTTCCTCAAAAATGAGCATTTTATCGAAGGAAATTTGGCAACTCTCGAATGTTCATACGGCGTTTTTCCCTAGCGCGGCAGTAATCACGTTCAAGCCAGTGACGTCAAAGCACATTGATGATTGAGCTACAATTGTGTGTACTGTGTCGATGTAAAATTTTAGTTTACTTTTCTAGTATTGCGTTCGAGTCTCCTGCCGTTAATCGCGGGTCATGGAACAGCTGCAGTATAAGCACACCCGCACCCTTTCATGCCTCAGCTCATGTATTATTCGACTTAAACATTGTTTCATCAACGCTTTCCCCACCACTTATTTCTGTATTAAGTGACTGCTCAACCCCTCGTTAGTGTCAAAAAATTGATTACTTTGAGCTCATTGATTTTTCCCCTGGGCTTTCATCGTGATAATTAATTCGCTAGGAGTAAAATTAGTAAACCTAATGATTCGTCCCTGGTAATATGTATGCACACCTTCGGTTAATTCATGAAAAGATAATATGCTGTAGCATCAAGGATGTTAAAAATGTGTCCGGCAATCCTTAGATACTGACCTTACCTACCCTTACTTACTAACATACCTTGACTGCCATCTTTGTTAAGTTCGCATTCCCAGAATCTAAAGTCACCGTAGAAGAAATCGAATAGCACCTCCAGGTGAGCAGACTTATTTTTGACACCCAGGATAATATCTTAGAATTTCATTTATTGTTTCGATCCTCTGCCAGGAGTCTAATCCTATGGCTGCTAGATTTCTTGGATTTTTTCACATTATTTTCAACATTAAAATTCCATTCAATTCCAAACCTGCCGTCTTAATTTGTCAAAGTAAAAAAATTACGGAATAAATTATTTTTACCTTGAAACAGAGCACAGAATGTTAAGGGTGCCTCATTTTCAAATGTTTTTTCCACTCGTTTAATGTCTCTCCAAATGTATGTACCATTGACTGCTAGTCTCAGGAATAAATTAGCCGTACAGCACAGAGGTTATTCACCTTTGAAGTTTTAATTCGATTAATTTGTTGGTACGAACAGCTCAAAACTGAGGCATTTTTCGGTGAAAGGGCGTATGACGAAGCTTAGAATGCTGCTAAGATTGTACAATTTTGTATAGCTTTTGTGGCAGATGAAATCCATTCACAGTCGATCTACTTCCTTACAATATTGAGAAAAAACTCGGAGCAGATTCAGGAAATAATTCATAGCAGAGCTGTTGGAAAAGTTACATGCAACTATACAGAACTACGTTGCAGTACGTTAAACAATCTTACCAGTGACAGAAGTCGCATACGCCCTATTACCGAAAAATGCCTCAATTGCTCCTAAGACGACTCAATTTTACAAAATTTTTCGGAAATGGCCCCCTGACCCCCTTCTAGGCAACAGAAACCTCATATGAGCTCCTTTTTAGAGCTAGGAGAAAGTCACAAA